AAATTAATATCATTTAATTAGACAATTAACAACAATTTTATCTAATGAACAACACAAAAACAAAATACATATCCTATTACTTCTAATTAAACCAGAAAAATGTAAATTTTGCCTGACAACTAAATATTGGGACATTGCACGATTTGTATTTCTAATATGGAGTAACATCGCCCTTAGATTTGATAACCGCTTGAAATCGGTTGGGCATTGAATTCACAAAGGTTCTACACTGTTCAGGAGTAAATCCATCCCAAATTTGCTTTATTTTGGCTTTAAGTTCTGACAATGTCCGTTGTGGGTTGTTCCTCAAAGTTTGTTTCATTTTGTGCCACACTGTTTCAATTACATTCAGATCTGCACTGTTGGTAGGCCAATAGAACATTAATATTTTGATCGCCAACCACTTTTTTGTAGTTTTGGTTGAAATATGTAATTTTCGCCAACATTTAACTGCACGATACTTGATAGTATGCTGTTTTGTAGTATTTGTTGATATTTTGCGGCGTTCACGATGCCATCAATAAATTCAAAGCATCCTTATCTTAAAGCTGTCATACAGCCACAAATGATTACTCCCTTCGGAAATTATACACAACGTTTTAAACAACCTTTATGAAATGCCTCATGTTTATTGCAAATTTAGAATTCCTGGAAAAGTCTTCTGCTGACCAAGACAGTTTAGATTTTGCCCATGTTTTTTTTTTTTGGTTTTTCTTTTGCTTATAAAACAACAATTTTCTAAAAGCGACATTTTTTACCTTGTAAAACTTTAATCCAGTTTTAAGAATCCATTTGTGACAGCATTCCCTTGATATATTTAATCCAGTTTCATTATTCCATTCAGCGATAACTTGTCTTAAAATATTTCTTCCTCCTTTTTTGCAGATTTATACAAGTATTCTTTTATTTCTATCAGAAACTAACTTTGGACGACCTGAACTTTTACCCTTTTTTTCTAAAATTTACCCAGTTTCTCCATAATGTTTAATTACTTTCCACGCTATGCTTAATCTAATTTACTTAATCTTCATTTGTTCCATTTTTATGGAAGTTACTTTGCATTGTCCCAATATTAAGTTGTCAGGTAAAATATACATTTTTCTAGTTTAATTAGAAGCAATGTGTTGTTCATTAGACAAAATTGTTGTTAATTATATAATCAGATGATATTAATCTGNCCACTTTTTTGTAGTTTTGGCCGTATGACAAGCCGCTCCATCCTGCTGAAATATGTAATTTTCGCCAACATTTAACTGCACGATACTTGGTAGTATGCTGTTTTGTAGTATTTGTTGATATTTTGCGGCGTTCACGGTGCCATCAATAAATTCAAAGCATCCTTATCCTGAAGCTGTCATACAGCCCCAAATGATTACTCCCTTCGGAAATTTTACACAACGTTTTAAACAATCTTTATGAAATGCCTCATGTTTATTGCAAATTTGGAATTCCTGGAAAAGTCTTCTGCTGACCAAGACAGTTTAGATTTTGCCCATGTTTTCTTTTGGTTTTTCTTTTGCTTATAAAACAACAATTTTCTAAAAGCGACATTTTTTACCTCGTAAAACTTTAATCCAGTTTTAAGAATCCATTTGTGACAGCATTCCCTTGATATATTTAATCCAGTTTTATTATTCCATTCAGCGATAACTTGTCTTAAAATATTTCTTCTTCCTTTTTTGCAGATTTTTACAAGTAGTCTTTTATTTCTATCAGAAACTAACTTTGGACGACCTGAACTTTTACCCTTTTTTTCTAAAATTTGCCCAGTTTCTCCATAATGTTTAATTACTTTCCACGCTATGCTTAATCTAATTTACTTAATCTTCATTTGTTCCATTTTTATGGAAGTTACTTTGCATTGTCCCAATATTAAGTTGTCAGGTAAAATATACATTTTTCTAGTTTAATTAGAAGCAATGTGTTGTTCATTAGACAAAATTGTTGTTAATTATATAATCAGATGATATTAATCTGAAAAAATTATTAAAAGAAATTAAACTGTTTAATTATTGTTAATTATATACACATTTTATTTTGTCCCAATATATAGTTGTTAGGGCTCGTACATACCGGGAATTTCATATAAATCGCAATATATGAATGCAGTAACCATAGTTACAAAATTACTGTGCACTTGCACTGTCCCAGATGGGTAGTTTTGCAGAGGAAAAGTTTTGCTTGAAAAAAGGTGACATCTTTAAGACAATCTTGAGTTTTCGTCTAGTTAGTGCTAGTGTAAAACCAGAATTAACACTAGACCTAGAATTAGAAGCATTCGGATTTAGCCGCACGTCTCTCAAGACGGCTAAACCCGAATGATTCTAGTTCTAGGTCTTGTATTAGTTCTAGTGATAGTCCTAGTGTAATACTAGAATTAATACTAGAACTAGAAACATTCGGATTTAGCTGCACGTCTCTCAAGACGGCTAAACCCGAATGATTCTAGTTCTTGTATTAGTTCTAGTGATAGTGCTAGTGTAATACTAGAATTAACACTAGACCTAGAACTAGAAACATTCGGATTTAGCCGCACGTCTCTCAANAATAGGGTATGTATTTTGTTTTTTGTGTTGTTCATTAGATAAAATTGTTGTTAATTGTCTAATTAAATGATATTAATTTGAAAAATGTATTAAAACAAAATAGTCTGTTTAATTGTTGTTAATTACATATAAATTCTATTATGTCCCAATATACAGGGTGGTCAGTAGATGTTTCTGGGATTCTTAAATCCAGTTAATTATATAATCAAATGATATTAATCTGAAAAAAATATTAAAAGAAATTAAACTGTTTAATTATTGTTAATTATATACACTTTTTATTTCGTCCCAATATATAGTTGTTAGGGCTCGTACATACCGGGAATTTCATATAAATCGCAATATATGAATGCAGTAATCACTTATATGAATGCACTTGCACTGTCCTAGATGGGTAGTTTTGCTTGAAAAAAGGTGACATCTTTAAGACAATCTTGAGTTTTCGTCTAATTAGTGCTAGTGTAAAACCAGAACTAACACTAGACCTAGAACTAGAAACATTCGGATTTAGCCGCACGTCTCTCAAGACGGCTAAACCCGAATGATTCTAGTTCTAGGTCTTGTGTTAGTTCTAGTGATAGTGCTAGTGTAAAACTAGAACTAACACTAGACCTAGAACTAGAAACATTCGGATTTAGCCGCACGTCTCTCAAGACGGCTAAATCCAAATGATTCTAGTTCTAGGTCTTGTATTAGTTCTAGTGATAGTGCTAGTGTAATACTAGAATTAACACTAGACCTAGAACTAGAAACATTCGGATTTAGCCGCACGTCTCTCAAGACAGCTAAATCCAAATGATTCTAGTTCTAGGTCTTGTATTAGTTCTAGTGATAGTGCTAGTGTAATACTAAAATTAATACTAGACCTAGAAACATTCGAATTTAGCCGCACGTCTCTCAAGACGGCTAAACCCGAATGATTCTAGATCTTGGTCTTGTATTAGTTCTAGTGATAGTGCTAGTGTAATACTAGAATTAACACTAGATCTAGAACTAGAAACATTCGGATTTAGCCGCACGTCTCTCAAGACGGCTAAACCCGAATGATTCTAGTTCTAGATCTTGTATTAGTTCTAGTGATAGTGTAATACTAGAATTAACACTAGACCTAGAACTAGAAACATTCGTATTTAGCCGCACGTCTTTCAAGACGGCTAAACCCGAATAATTCTAGTTCTAGGTCTTGTATTAGTTCTAGTGATAGTGCTAGTGGAATACTAGAATTAATACTAGACCTAGAAACATTAGGATTTAGTCGCACGTTTCTCAAGACGGCTAAACCCGAATGATTCTAGTTCTAGGTCTTGTATTAGTTCTAGTTATAGTGCTAGTGTAATACTAGAATTAACATTAGACCCAAAACTAGAAACATTCGGATTTATCCGCACGTCTCTCAAGACGGCTAAACCCGAATGATTCTAGTTCTAGGTCTTGTATTAGTTCTAGTGATAGTGCTAGTGTAATACTAGAATTAATACTAGACCTAAAAATATTCGGATTTAGCCGCACGTCTCTCAAGACGGCTAAACCCGAATGATTCTAGTTCTAGGTCTTGTATTAGTTCTAGTGATAGTGCTAGTGTAATATTAGAATTAACACTAGAACTAGAAACATTCGAATTTAGCCGCACGTCTCTCAAGACGGCTAAACCCGAATGATTCTAGTTCTAGGTCTTGTATTAGTTCTAATGATAGTGCTAGTGTAATACTAGAATAACACTAGACCTAGAACTAGAAACATTTGGATTTAGCCGCGCGTCTCTCAAGACGGCTAAACCCGAATGATTCTAGGTCTAGCTCTTGTGTTAGTTCTAGTTTTATTTCAATAAAAATATGCAACGTAGTGATTTGTTATGCTAACTAGCGCTACATACATGAAGATTCCGACAAAATTGTCATTACGGACAATTATTTTATATTAATACATTTATATCCCTTAATACATCCCATAATATAAATAAGGGCTTATAAATCAGCAATTAATGTGTCAATTTTTTGTCTTTATTAACTTTTTTTGCTATAAAGACAACGACAATATATTTTCTTTCACATTTTTTCTTCATCATGTTCTAAATACATAGTTACATGAATACTTTAGCGTTAAATCCTTTCAAATGCATAATATTAGGAGATATATAATAAAAACGAAAATGCCCCGCTTGAAGATTAATTTTAATAATTAATTAATTATTAATTTGTTGTAGCTTTAATCAATCAAGTCCTGATTTTCGACCAAGAACCTCATCGACAACCTCATCTTGCGGAAGATTATCCCCAATACCATCGATGAGTCACGAACCGGATTGGGGCCGAATAAACCAATACAACTCAAATTATAGCCCCGAAATGGGTGGTAATTATTCCCCGGATACTCTTGCTGGTTCTTTGGAGCAAGGGATGAAACTTCAATCCGATTACGACCTTTATATCAACGGTAGCATCCAACAGCAACAAACCCAACAACAACCACCACCACCTTACCAAGGTCATTTCGATTCATTTTCACCTTGCAGAGATTTAAACACCCTTCACACCAACTCTAACTATTCAATTAATCAATGTCCAATTCATCGTCATCAACAATGTGGATGTACACAAATAAAAACAGAAGTAAATTAATAAATTTATAATGATTAATTTTAAATTAATTTCCGAATTAATTTCTTTTAGAATATGTCCCCGCCACATTTATCACCGGTTATGCACGGAATCCAATCTGGGGGGTGTATGCAAATTAAAACTGAGGTAAATTAATGTTGATCGGTTTTAATTCATTTAAATTAACCTAAATCAATTTTACTCTTCGTTTAGAATATGTCCCCCGCTTCATTATCACCGACATTTTCTCAATCGGATTTAACACCCGATATGATAACCGGACAATACGCGGTGTTAAATAGACCTAGACCGCCGTCCAACAGTCCACCTCATACGCCTCAATCGGCTGTGGGGGCCGTCCAACAAGGTACAACGATGATGGGTCAATTAATGGGTGCTCTTAACACCACGGGGATGCTCGACGATCTCAATATTAGCGTTGAACCGCTTCAGGGCGGTTTCGATTGCAACGTTGAAGAGCTTATTAAACACGAATTAAGTATGGAGGGTGGTTTGGATTTTAATTTTACAAACACTCATCATACCATCCAAACCGATACTAATATGGGGCCACAACAAAGCGTGGCACCACCTTCTTATACAGCTACGGTTACGACAAATCCTTCATGGGTTCATTAACATCAAGGTAAGCGTTTCATTCAGTATTTATAACAAATATATATATGTATAAGCACATTTAATGGGATCTTTGAGGCTAATTTTGAGACAGTCTTATGACTGTGGAGTCTTACTGAAATCCCTTGCCATTAATGTGGCGCTTTCGACTGATAGCAGAATAATAGCTCAAAAATTATAAAAGTCAAGCAATACAGACATACATAAAAATGTTGTTTAAAGTTGTTTTTCTCTTATTTAATATCATTTATACAGTTTGTCATCAATCTACTGAGCATCATCTATGAAATATCTGTCAGCATAGACATACAAAGCAGTTCGTCAACTAACGTGCAAAACATTATCATCTGGCAAGCTAGCATATTGCCCTACAAATCCCCACCAAATAAGTACCAGAAAGCAGTGTAGTCCTCCTGAAGTAGACTATGATATAATAGCCATTTTTGCTGAAGATGCCATAATGGCAGTATGGCTGTGGAGAAAGATCTAGTTCAAGTTAAATGAGGCTAATTTGCCATATTCCCGTGAACATAAACAATATTTATGTACCAAAAAGAAATATATTGTCAGTTTGGACGAAACTCCATCAGCAACCCTGAAGTTAGCTTGCAAAATACTAGATATTGCTTGCAGAAGACTGGATATTGCTAGAAAAAAGACTACACATTGTTTGTAAAAGACTAAATACATGTAAAAGACTAGGTACTGCTTGCTGAGCAGTAAATATTACTCGTAGTAGACTGAATGCAATTTGTAAAAGACTTGATATTGCTTGCAAAATATTAAATACTTGTAGAAGACTAAATCCTGCTTGCTGAGGACTAAATGTTCTATGTAGAAGACTGAAAATAGCTTGCAAAATACTAGATATTACTTGCAGAAGATTGGACACTGTCTAATGAGGATGTAGGTTAACTATTACAAAAAGAAAAAGGGTTTTCAAGTAGTTCATCAACTAAAATGCAAAACATTATCGTCTGCCAAGCCAACGTGTTGGGCTACTCTAGTCCTCCTGAAGTAGAACATAATAAGATAGCCATTTTTGCCGATGATACTGCCATTATTGCTCACGCATTTCTCAGACTGTCTGCGAATATAGATGTTGAATACTTTTACTGTTCCTCTCATCCTCACCTTAAGTTGTGATTTCTCGACTTGGTCCACCCATCCTCCGCTTCAAAGCTCTCGTCCATCGCCAACTGTCTCCCAGCTCAAAACATAGTATCCATTAATTTTTACCATGTTAATTATTTCAACCCAAGCCAACCATTTCAAGTTAAATCAGGCTAACACGGCCCATATTTCCGTCAGCATAAACAATCTTCACTCCACCCTATCAATATACACTATATGTACATAAAGTAAGGAAAAAGGCTTGGACATCTGTTATTTTTTTAACGCGCAATTTTTGACTTAATTTTGAAATGTTCCAAACTTAAGATATAATCTCTACGTTCATTTTTTTAAATAGGAACCCACATTTTTTGTTGCATTTATGGATTCTACGCAAAATTCTGACATTTTTCATGTAGCTATGTAACTCGATATGCGAAACAATGGCGTTTAATAGACTAAACTGTTCCTTAGACATAGATATTTACTCCCACTGCTATCAGAAATGTATTTAGCAATCCGTAAACATTGTAGTATACTTCAAACATATATCAATCAATGTTTGGACATTACTATCTATTACAAACAGTTATTAAGGGTTGTTTAGACACTGATTTCTAGTTCCACTGATGTCAGAAATGTATCTACCAATGTCTAAACACAGCAGTATAGTTCAAGCATACACCAATGAATGTTTGGATATTGCCATCTACTCCAAATACTTATTAAACATAGTTTAGACACAGATATCTACTCTTACTGCTGCCAAAAATGTTTTTAGCAATGTCTAAACATTGTAGTATATCTATACATTGCGTATAGCATCCAACTATGGGGTTGTGGCAATAAGAGCAATTTAGAAATAGTCCAACGATACCAGGACAAATTATAAAGGAGAATTGTACGCTACAGAAATAGTGACCTCCATAGAGACATGGAAATAAAAACTGTTAGTCAGTTATGAGCGAAGCCATCCATAATGGTTTAGTAATAATAATAATGTTTATTAATCGGATAAGATATAATATATGTAGAAATAGAAAAAATTATAAAAAGGCCGTTCCGATTAAGGAGGGTCATGTCAGGTCGACCAAAAGCAGCAAAATAAGCAAAATAATAAGACAAAAATTGAAAAATAAAATTTAAATGAAATCAAGCCGATTATAAGCGCAAAAAAAAATTAACAAACTTAAAATACACAATAAGAAGCATACTTACATATGACAAGCATACATATATAAATCTCAATCTCTGTCAGCCCCCAATCCTCCCCCCCCCCGGCTATGAAACCATTTCAAAATAAACAAAGAAGAAGAGTGCTCAGTCAACTTGCTCACTTAAATAAGCCCTAACCCTTGCCTTAAAGGAAATCAGAGAAAGACTCTTGAAGGAATCAGGTAGCCAATTGTATAAGTTAGGCATACAATACGTAAAGCTGCGTTTGAAAATTTCTAAGCGGTGGTGAGGTATCGTTAGCGCATGTTTATGCCTAATATTAATATAATGGATATCTGTGCGAAATCTAATTTTATCATAAAGGTAAGGCGGATTTTTGTGTAAGATAATTTTGTGGTAGAGACATAAGCAGTGAAGAGTCCTTCGCCGTGTCATGCTCAACNATATGTAGAAGACTGAAAATAGCTTGCAAAATACTAGATATTACTTGCAGAAGATTGGATACTGTCTAATGAGGATGTAGGTTAACTATTACAAAAGGAAAAAGCTTTTTCAAGTAGTTCATCAACTAAAATGCAAAACATTATCGTCTGCCAAGCCAACGTGTTGGGCTACTCTAGTCCTCCTGAAGTAGAACATAATAAGATAGCCATTTTTGCCGATGATACTGCCATTATTGCACACGCATTTCTTCAGACTGCCTGCGAATATAGATGTTGAATACTTTTACTGTTCCTCTCATCCTCACCTTAAGTTGTGATTTCTCGACTTGGTCCACCCATCCTCCGCTTCAAAGCTCTCGTCCATCGCCAACTGTCTCCCAGCTCAAAACATAGTAATCCATTAATTTTTACCATGTTAATTATTTCAACCCAAGCCAACCATTTCAAGTTAAATCAGGCTAATACGGCTCGTATTTCCGTCAGCATAAACAATTTTCACTCCACCCTATCAATATACACTATGTACATAAAGTAAGGAAAAAGGCTTGGACATCTGTTATTTTTTTTAACGCGCAATTTTTGAGTTAATTTTGAAATGTTCCAAACTTAAGATATAATCTCTACGTTCATTTTTTTAAATAGGAACCCACATTTTTTGTTGCATTTATGGATTCTACGCAAAATTCTGACATATTTCATGTAGCTATGTAGCTCGATATGCGAGACAATGGCGTTTAATAGAGTTTTTAGACATAGATATTAACTCCCACTGCTATCATTTTGCTGAAGATGCCATAATGGTAGTATGGCTGTGGAGAAAGATCTAGTTCAAGTTAAATGAGGCTAATATTTCCATATTCCCGTCAGCATAAACAATATTTATGTACCAAAAAGAAAAAAATATTGGCTGTTTGGACGAAACTCCATCAGCAACCCTGAATTTAGCTTGCAAAATACTAGATATTGCTTGCAGAAGACTGGATATTGCTAGAAAAAAGACTACACATTGTTTGTAAAAGACTAAATACATGTAAAAGACTAGGTACTGCTTGCTGAGCAGTAAATATTACTCGTAGTAGACTGAATGCAATTTGTAAAAGACTTGATATTGCTTGCAAAATATTAAATACTTGTAGAAGACTAAATCCTGCTTGCTGAGGACTAAATGTTATATGTAAAAGACTGAAAATAGCTTGCAAAATACTAGATATTACTTGCAGAAGATTGGACACTGTCTAATGAGGATGTAGGTTAACTATTACAAAAGGAAAAAGCTTTTTCAAGTAGTTCATCAACTAAAATGCAAAACATTATCGTCTGCCAAGCCAACGTGTTGGGCTACTCTAGTCCTCCTGAAGTAGAACATAATAAGATAGCCATTTTTGCCGATGATACTGCCATTATTGCTCACGCATTTCTCAGACTGTCTGCGAATATAGATGTTGAATACTTTTACTGTTCTTCTCATTCTCACTATCCTACCTTAAGTTGTGATTTCTCGACTTGGTCCACCCATCCTCCGCTTCAAAGCTCTCGTCCATCGCCAACTGTCTCCCAGCTCAAAACATAGTAATCCATTAATTTTTACCATGTTAATTATTTCAACCCAAGCCAACCATTTCAAGTTAAATCA